GTCGGTTGGTTGGCTGACTTGCTGGCTGCTTGGTTAGTTATTTGTTTGGTTGCTTTGTTTAATGGTTGGTAAGTTAGTGGCCTTGTTGGTTGACTGATTCAGTTTTGATTTTATGGCTGCTTGTGTTGTTGACTGGTTGGTTAGTCAGTTTATTGGTTTGATAGTGTTCTGGTTGATTGCTTGGTTTGGTAGGTGGCTGATTAGCTATTTGGGCATTCAGTTGTCTGTCTAGATAAATGGTTAGTTGGTTGGGTTGCCTGATGGGTTGTTTGTGATTAACCTGATTGGTTCATAACAAACCTGATTGGTTAGATAGATGGATGGTTGATTGATTAGTTGGATGGATGATGGATGGATGATGGATGCAACCATCCATGCAACCATGAGTGGTTGCATGGATGGTTTATTCAAGAAAAAACAGCAGGATGTCTGCGGTATTTGTCAATTTCTGAAAACTGCCCATGGTTTAACTGAATAAACTGATCTTGTACTAAATTTTATAAGAGAGTTGCCTTGGTCACATAGTTCAAATTTGACTTTTTACTCCCATTTATTTTTATGACTTGTATGTTAATTGTTGAACAACTTTTTCAAATCAGTAATCCTGTTTACTTTGCCTTTCCATGTTTCCAGCTCCACCTCATCTCATCGAGAAGCCCCAAGACATCCAAAAGTTCATCGATGACTCGCTGGTGTGGGAGTGCAAAGCCACAGGGAAACCGAAACCCTCGTACAGATGGATGAAGAACGGAGAAAACCTGGAATCTACAGAGGTGAGGTCTGCCAAATGTCTCCACGCTCATAAAGTCCCAAACTTAAACACTGGGCACACTAACACGTTTTTACAAGTTTTACTCTCAATCTTAGTAGCAAATGAAGAATACCAAACATTCATACTAAGCACACCTTTCTCTGTATTAATTATCTCATCCACCAAAAAGCATTTATTTCAAAGGTTTTTAACCATGCCCCCTTGTGCTGCGTGGAACAAAGAAACAGGCCAAGTGTTTAAAAGCACTGTGATGTAGAAGATACACTAATCATCTGCTAAATCTCTTCTTACCAACATCAGTTATTAATTCTGTGCCACCGCAGATGAAAAGCAGGATTTTTTTTTTGGATTCAGGTCTTAATTCATTCCTTTGTGCTTCCTACCCCCTCAGTTTCCCCACAAGAAATTCTCCGTCTCATCTTGGCATATGAAAAAGTGTGATTTCTTTATTATTTATATTAGATAATTACATTTGATGGTTTTCCCTTTTTTCTGAGTACTTTTAAGCTGACTGATTGGACACTGCGGCACAGCTTGCGTTTGTTAAATAAACTGCCAATATGTTAATTTGCTTCTTTATGCAAAGACGGTGACAAACACACCGGAGGACACAGATCAGTGCTTGAGTGTTCTACATGAGGTAGGAATGAACCCGGGTCTGTCACCACATAACCCGAGGCAGCGCTCCACTCAGCGCAGCCTCTTTCACATAAAAAACAGATTTAGTTTACTGTCAGGGGAGCACAATCATCTGTCTGTTTTGCCAACAGCAATGTGTTTTATCAACATCTTTTTATGGTGGTGCAAAAAATAAATAAATAAAAATCTCCCTCTTGTTTCTTATAAGGTAGTTTCTTAAAAAGATTTAATATTCTATTACATTTGATGAGATTTATTTTCTTATCTTTATGTGGATGTACTTAAGAATTTATGATGGGATAAATAAATTCAAACGGTAGCGCTCGGAGTAAATGGCTAACCCAGTTGCCTGTCTGGGGATGAGGCAGTGCTTGGAGTTTGATTAAAGGTTACATCGACTGCCCCGACGTTTGTGCAGCACATTCCTCCTTAATATAGACATAATAAATGGATATATTCAGAAAGCATGGGTGAATGGATTAATCAGCGAAGGTGCTGCATTGTTTGAAATGCCACCATTAACCACTGCTGCTTAATGAGTGGAAGAGGGAAAGGTCAGCAGTGTGAGGAGCATTTGGGGGTGGGGGGGGCACTGGTTGTTAGTTATTACTGGGAATCGATTGAGGTCTTTTTTGAGTTGCTTCTTCACTGGATTGTATTTCTGCTGATAGTTTTCTGCCTGGGAAGAAGCAGCCGCCCTGTAAGAGGGAACGAATGGCCATCTTGATGGTTGTCCTGAATGTGCTGTGTTTGTGTTAAGGTACAAGACATTCTAGAGAGGCAAAGCAAGCCTTGTGACTGTACAGACAAAACATGCTTTTTGTCTGCGCAGCTGCTGAACCACAGCTTTCTAGCTGTGGTTCAGCTTTTTAGCCCAGCTGAACCACAGAATTGATCTCAGAATTGATCCATTAAGAAGTTTCTTAATGGAACACTTTCATAGGGGACGATAATGGGGCAATATGTACAATCTTTAAAACAGAAAAGAAAGAATAAATCAAATGTATTCTTGTTTTCCCTTAGAGACAGTCTAACTGTCAAAAGTACTTATAAATACATTGGTACCTATAGAGCACTCCTGTCCCAGTCCGCATGCACAATCAACGCAGTCTCAGAAGTCAGACCTTTTTGCAGATGTCTGTGGAGAGTCCCAGTCTTGGACTCCCCAAAATGTTTTTTCATTTTCTTCCTTTCATTCTCTTTTAGAAAATACTACAAGGTTTGTGCGCTTTGTATTTTTTAAGTTCACCGCTGGCTGTCATTTTCTGACAGTAAATGCGTTGTTACGCATACTGCAGCTTTCACTTAAAGCTGCAGTATGTAACTTTCATAAAAATATTTTTACATATTTGGTGAAACTGTCACCATGTGGTGACAGCATAGTATGAGAAAGATAAAATGTGAAAAAATGTAGCTCCTTCCTTCTTCCAATGCTGACTAGAAGCAACCAATGAGAGCCAGGAGGCGGGTGTTAGCGCTGATAATCATGCCCATGTGCATGTCGCTCAGCCTCTCATTATTGCACTCTGCTACAATATAGCTTCTCTCAGTCAGCATAGCCTGTAGTGAATACTAATTTAGCAGCAAGTACTTGAAAATGATTGACAGTGCTAAGACCCTCCTCCTGGCTCTGATTGGTTGTTTTCGGTCAGGAGCGTAGCATTTCTTGAGATCAATCATTTCACAGATGATCTGTCTCATTTTATATTGTCATGACATGGTGACAGTTTTAACAAATATGTCAAATATATGCAGCTTTAAGGGGGGAGTAGCACAAGTATCATTTCAAAGCTGAATTTCTTGGGACACCTTATGCTGCTGGTGTGGGCTGCCCTTTACACAGCCTGACATACACAGTGTTCACAGTATCTGGAAGCAATTGATATGAAAATGAAAATCAGCATATTACAGCATAATGTGAGGAGTTTATCACAAGTATGAGGCAGCTGGAGAATGTGATTGACCAGGGGTCCTGGTAGGTTACGGAGTACCAATGTGCTGATAACACCGACTAATGTATCCACGTGGTATCATCTGTGTTTTTTATCTTTGCTTCTTTGAATGAGTGACTAACGGATTACATCATTACTGCACTGATGATACCACCATCGATCCCATGCAAGTGGAGTCATTTACATAACCATTAGTTTTCCTAATTATGCTGAAGTTGGAGCGTTCCTCCTGCAGGCTCAGGGCTGTACTACACCTGGCTCAGGAGACGACACGACACAGAATTTGATCAGTATTTACAGCGAAACTAAACATCCACACATCACAAACTGTACTCTAAACCATCTTTAATCAGAGCAGATACTTCTGTCCAGGTGTGACTTTTCAATATACAGTCATATTTAAAAATTAGAATATGTGTTCCCTAACCTATTTAATTTTTTTCACTTTGTGAATAAAGTTGCTGAAATAAATTAACTTTATTAACATATAAGCTTTATTTGTAAATAGATTTACAAAGTTAATTTATTTATAGTCAATAACTTTGAATATTATTCAATGGTATAGAATAGACCATGGCATGAGCTGTCTGTGGGGATGCTTTTATTGCATAACCATCACCAACAATTAATTTTCAGACAAATTCATTTCTTTGTTTCTTTTTCCTCTTCTTTTTTCTCAGCTTTTGAGTGAGAATGCTTCAGTTTCCAGTCTGGGGATCTGCCATCGTGGTTCTTTTTATGACCCACCGGGTGAAAAACTAATGCTTTATCTGAATGTTCCTTTTCTTCTGGCTGTTTCCGTCTGAAGGACTTCAATCTCTTCATTTATTGTCAATGGCTTCAGGATTAGGTTGACTATGCAATTAAAAGAAAACTCTACAGAGAAAGAGGATTTAGTTCCTATAGAGGATGGATGACTTACTGTAGTGGACTACTTGAACTGGGGGTTTCCCTTATAGACATCTCAAGTAAATGTTTCAGATTTTAGGTAGTGAGTAATCCCATTAAAGGCGGGATAAATGCTGTAGTTAAGGGAAGATGGTTATAACTCCCTGATTTGCTTGTTAGTCTGTGCTGTATCAAAGTAAGTAGGCTCAGTTTAAAGGTTTTGTTCCTCTCACTGCAAGCCGCCTGGGAGCTTTGTTCATGTCTGCTGCTGTGCTTGCTTTTCAATCGGGCGCATATGGTAAATTAATCAAAGATCTTTGGAAACAATAAGCAGATTTATCTTGCAGTTCTGCTCCAGTGAATAATAATAGTTTGCAGCTCTGTAGTAGCATTTTCTTTTTCTTATGTTTTGAAGATTAAACTCCGCAGATTAAGATTCATTTCGATTGATTCAGTTGTTGCTTTCTGTTACTTTTACATCTCCATAGTTAAGAAAGGCAGTGAAGAGATTTCATTTTTTTCTTAAACTCTTGGGTATTGCCTATCAATTTGAAAAAGAATACATGTTGATATTTGCACTTATTAAGAAAGAGACTGAGAGAGAAGTTTTAGAAATTAAAGGGGCAGAAATATGTAAAAAAAAAAAAAAAAAAAAAAAAAAAAGTGGATTGCATGACATATTATTCCCTCATCAATACCTGGAGTATTGCCTTGATTCTTTTGTGCATGTTTGATTAATCTTTTAATTTTCATTACAGCCATTCAGCTGTGCAAAAACGCCTGGTTGGACCTAGTGCTGGCTTTGAGGATGCAGCTCCTCCTCAGAGTTACAGATTTCAAGTTTCCACCTCACAGAGGAACCCTTCCCCACTCAGCTCCTTCAGACTAACCAGCAGCAATTAGCAAACACCTGGTGGAATTGCTGAGGTCATTATAGGACCTACTTCTCAGTACAATGCTGGTAAAAATGTTATGAAAGGGACTTCAATTCCTCTTGCTTAAAAACGGAGCCATGTTGTGACGACTTCCTGATGGCGGAGTTTCAGAATGAGCAGGAGTTTTTAAAGAGACAGAGGCCCAATTTCAAGGTGTTAAATAATTTTCTCAAGACATATTTAATATATATAACATTTTCATAACTGCAGTTAAGATAGTTACTGGATTGTGCCATAAAATGGCACTATGTCTCTGAAAACCCTTTACATTATGGGATAAAAATGTCATCTTTTCATCTTGTGGTTTTGTGTCTAAAAAAAGAAAAATCTGCCACATATTCACTTTTATACTCTAAAAATGGGTCAAACATGGATTGTGGACTCTGCCAATAAAGGTCAAGAACAGTTTGTAACAAACAAAATAATGAGTAGATACCACTCCAACAGTCCAGCAGCAATCAGATGCAATATTTTAATATATCAACACTAGAAATTAATTTATATATCTATATATAATTTAACATTGTACATTTTATCAACCAGTTCAGTGTTCAGTTCACATGACATGGCCAATCACTTTTGCAGTGCAGAAGGGGTGCAGATGGTCCCCCCAGGTCCCAGAGCCAAAAACTGCTGATTTTAGAGGAATGTCATGGCTAATTAATAGCAGCTGTAAATGGGAGTGCTTCCCTCCTGCACAGACTGATACCCGCCACCATTTGCCTGGCTCGCCAGAAGGGATGCTCGCCCCTGCACATCCGGAGCTGCTGAGCATTATGGAAATTTCCGGCACAACCTGCTCAAATGCAGGATTAGTTTGTGATCTCTCAGTGAAGACAGCCTCCGTTTTCATGTGACAGCGCCTTAATCTTCCCCTCCCTTTGCGTCTGGAGTTCAAATGGGCTCTAATGACACTGAAGGTGAGTCGAAGGAAAACACTGGAGATGGAGGGCATGGAAAACCGAAACCTCACACAGCTGCAGAGACGGATGATAGGCCCTAAAACATTTACTGCTTGTACTAAGGAGGGATAGAAGAACTTGCGATAAGACCAACATTTTACTGAACTGAGCCAAAAAACAGATACAGCCAAATATTGGTATCATAACGCAAGTTTGCCATCTCAAAGACAAATAAGCTTTGCACTTGAAGATATTTTAACAACCAAAAACAATAAGGAGAAAGGAGGTAAAAACCAGACAAAGCCACAACTTTACATAAAATAAATCATTAAGTATTTGTAAACAAAATTGCAGTTCAAAAAAATGTTAACCATCAAAATGGAAACTTTTGAGCTCATTTTAGCCATTAGCTTAACCTGAGCTAATGATTCAGTGCGCTGCATCTTAGCACAAATTTGTAGGATCAGCAAGATGCTAAGTTTATACCAACAGAACAACTAAATCTGTTATAATCTGGCATTGGAGGAAGTCGGTTTCTTACTGACAGGCGTTTATCTCAATAAGCAGAAAAATAAGTCTGTTGGAGATTAAATACTCAGCTGATCAAGTGATCCAGCCCAGTTTTTGGTTCATCGTGCTCTGCAGCCGTTAAACACATTTTAATTTGAAGCCTCAACGATGAGCTTGATTTCCCCTGCAGGGGACTGAATCTGATAGTCCAAACAGATGAAGAGAAGCTCAGAGCATTACCAGGTACACATCACTTAGTATGTAAAGGGCATACCTACGGGATCTGCAAAGCAATTTTCCGATGTTATGATATTCCTTCCCCTCTTATCCCCTCCTTCTGCTGAAGGGGAAACAGGCCCTGTGGTGCAGCAGGGTGTGTGTGTGTGTGTGTGTGGGGGGGGGGATATAAATAGGGCATGGTTTTATTTCTCTCTCATAAACATGTAGATTGATTAGGGTCATTTTCTGCTAGCCTGCTTCCATCCACCCAAGCCTTTCCCTCCATTAGTGATGAAAACCTAGATTTATTGCCACGTCTGTCACTTCTGCGCCATATTTCACAGGCCTGCCGCGTGGCTGTTTTTATGTAGATGAGCACTGGGGGAAAAAGGCATATTAAAGATGTGTGTCTCTGTGTCCTCAGGAGCGCGTACAGGTTGCCAATGGAATTCTGTCAATCAGTCGGCTAACCCTGTCCGACACCGGAATGTACCAGTGTGTGGCTGGGAATAAGCACGGCGAGGTGTACTCCAACGCAGAGCTCCGAGTCATAGGTGAGGCTCAGCGTACAAATCAGACTTAAAACAAAGGGGGAGAATCACATGCTGTCTGACAGAGAATAATACTAATAAACCAACATCAAACTCCACATCAGCTGTCTGATTGCTAATTATGCAATCTCATCTCTTTGAATTACCCATGGTGGGAAATTCTGCTTCTTAATGAGCTCATTTTGAAAAAAAAAAAAAAAAAAAAAAACAGCCCACAGAGCAATGCAGAAGATAAGTGGTCAGAGATAAATTAGACAAAAGAAAGTCTTCAAAGAAATGGTTTAACAGACAATTGTTGCAATTCTCTTCTCTCAGCTGTTGCCCCAGATTTCTCTCACAATCAACTGAAGAGTCAGACGCTGGTGAAAGTGGGAGGAGACATCCTCATTGAGTGCAAGCCCAAGATGTCTCCTTGGGGCGTGATCTCATGGCGGAAGGGCAGCGAACCCCTGGAGGGGAGCAGCAGGTAAAACAACGTTTCACGCGGTTTGGTCGCTTCTGTCTCTGCCAGAACTGCTGGAGATTTACCCACATATGTGGTCATTACCATTAGCAAGGTTGAGATTCTTGAAGTACTCTTCAAGAATCTCAGTCAGGCAACAACAAATTGTGTGGATCTGTGTTTGAACAAAATGAAGATGGCCTAACAGATGAACATGAAGCTGCTTAGGATTGAAAAGTGGAAGGAAAGCATTTCTATGCATTCTGTTTAACTTCTCAAGTTACCTTGTAGAACTACTTTTCTCCATGGTTACAGATACAACTCTTTAACATCAGTTCTCAGGTAACTCCACAGATTCTCAGTTGGATCTGGACTGGGTTGGTCTAACTCTTCAAGATGCTTTGATTGAAACTGTTCTGTAGAGTTTGGCTGATGGTCCATCTTGAAGGTAAAGCTGCAGTTTTAAGTCTTTTGCTGCTTCTAACAGAATTTCCACCAGGAAGTGTGCATCTTGCTATCAGACACCATCAGTTTCTCCTGTCTCCTATAAAGAAAGGCATCCTCTACAGGAAAATGTTGCTGCCACCATATTTTACTGAGAGAATGATAAGCTTAGGGTGTTGTTCAATGTTCATTTATTTTTTTCTGTGACCCTACATGGCTTATGACTTCTTATGCCTTTGTTTCAACACTTTCCAACTCTTCCATAAAAGTCAGATTGGTGTGGTGCACAGCTGATACTTGTCTAGTGAATAGAGTAACATACCTGAGCTGTAGATCTGTGCAGCTCCTCCAGGCTTAAGGCATCCATACTTGGGCATCCACTGTGTGGAAGTTGGTGTGTAGTCAAAGTGGGCTCAAAGTGGGTAACTGACAGACGTCTACGCATAGGTACATTTTTACGATCATGCACTCAGTATGGGAACAGTGCTCACATCCAGCTGTTTTGTATGCGACAGACACAGAGCTGATGAGGGCGAGTCGGTACAATCAACCAGACTGCCACTTTGCACAAGTAACAGTTGTGTAGTGAAGAAGAAACGGTGCATGTTTCCATTAGCACTGTGAGAATTAAAGAAATTTGCCATGAAAAATTGGTACTTTCACCTATGAAATCTCAACCGTCTGTTGAACCCAACCAGTGACTGCTCGTCCCCCTGCTCGAAGAATATATACAGTATGTCCTTGTATATACCAAGGGCCTCTTGACTTGTTTTCAGATTAAAGGCTCTCTCATACTCATGTCTACTTCACCATGGAGGTCTGTGTGTATTCAAGGCAGAATCAATGAGTACTCAAAGCAGATGTCCACCAGACATGTCTGTGCATAGGCCAATCTTTATGACCATGTACTCAGTGTCGCACAGTAAGCTTGTTTGCAGGAACAGTGTTCACATCAAACTATTTAGTATGCCACACTGAGGTGATAAGGTTATTAGTTGGAACCATCTTGAGGACAAAATGTAGGAAATCAGTTTACTCAACGATGAAATCTCAGCCATCCATGGATAGTGAGAGTCTTATTGCTGTGCATGTCCAGTTGGTGAGTTTAGCCATATTTTGGTAGATTTGGAGTTGTCCCATACTTTTTGTATGTTAGGAGATGTTCAAGACATTTGCTGGTCTTCACAATGCTGTTTGTTCCTGGTTTCCTCTAACAACAAAACTTTGAAATGCAGTCCCAATCTCTAGCAATTAGGTGACTTCTGAATGTAATTATTTGCACTGCATTTTATTGAGGGGTATCAAATACACCCCACGGTTTATACTATTTATTGTTTTCTCCACTACCTGAAGACCCTGAATTTTTAAAACTATCCCAGTTTAAGCTGCAGGTCAAATCCTGACAAGGATTTCATACTTTATTCTGAAAATGTAAACATGCCATCCTGACCCAAATAACTTTGTTTCTCAGTACTGCCTGGAAATACCGTCAATAAAAACTATAAAACAGAACGAGTGGAAAATGTCAGAAATGGTGGAGCCAAAGTTGGAATGAATGTCTGGTAATGCAGCTGTTCATGGATCATATAACTGGTATGAAGGGAACAGTGTTACTAATACATCACTATCACTTTCACACACTACACAGAACGCCGTCAAATGTCACACTTGTAGACTAGTTGGACAAACTGTCACACACTCACCTGTATCACTGCAAAGAAGAAAAGTGCTGACCTGGAGTTCTATGACCACAATGAGCAATGCAGTGTTCCCTCTCAGTCTAGACCAGTTCGTTTTCTGTTGCACTCACAAAAGAGAAGCAATGTTCATCAAAGGTTACTGATGTGCGATCGATACAACAGTCCTGTTCTGATCTCTACTAGGACTTTTCTGTGTGTAGTTTGCTTGTTTTCTCCTTCCATGCATGAGTTTCCTGACCACATTGTAGCTGTAGATTTTTACTGCTTTGGACGGGCAGAGAAAACAAAGAGATAGAAATACAAAGTTTGTAAAATTAGCTACATAAGGTGGGAGTTTTGCCAATAGAGAAGTTAATGTAACAAAGTTATGAATGGGCTCTGTACTGGTATGATGCTATAATTGAAACCAGAAGTTTACATACAATGAATAAAAAGACACATGCACCTTTTTTCTGTCTGAAGTTAAATCAGAGTTAGGTTAAGGCTTGTTTTAGGCAAGTTAGTAAATAAGTTCTGCCTACTAAATACCATAATAATGAGAGAACATGTGAGAGATTTATTTATTAATATCTTAAAAATCAGAAGTTTATAGGTGGTCTAATAAACTAAGCCAGTTATTTTCCTGTTTCTACAAGTTCTCTTACAAGGACTCTACATTACCATCTCAGTAAACTGTTTTGTGTTTTATGCAATCATTCTAGATCTTAAAATTCCAATATTGCGATGACAGAGATATGAATTACTTTGCTGAGTTATTTTGATATAAGTTTCCAAACCAGGATTTGAAGGTAAGTTAGAGATACGGTGCAGGTGTTTTAAATGCATATACCCAAGGTGCATTTCAAAATGATTTAGTGAAATGTAACACAAGATATATTACAAAATCAATAGGAGGCTGAAATGCCAACGCAGCCAGGGAACAACAAAGCAATATTTTTTATCTGTTTCAGCGCTACAGAAAAGCTGTGCACCAATGGCCACCATGTTGTTGGTTTAGCAAATGGAGTTCTTTAATAGGAATAGTTTTAAATTTGTAATATGACACCTTTCTTGAATTGCTGTGTAATGCCTAAACTTAACTTGTGGGGTGTTTTCAAAGAGTCTAGCAGTGCATTTTGAAATGCAGGGAAATTCTTCATTCTATCTCCAGAGAGATTCCAAGGCTCTCCTCACATGTGGTAGCAGCCGGCTGAGAGGAAGAGAACAGCGTGAGGCCTAACTGAGTAATGGATAATGGGATCCACTGTGTTTTATCAGCAGCTCTTTGGTGGGGGCCAAACAGACCAGCTGCTGAGTAAATTCAAAGTGCTAATCAAGTAGTTTTCACCTCAGTGGGGAGGGTGGAGGCTCCAGAAATCAAATGAGTCCACTCCTGACACGCTGCCAAGCTTCAGAGGAGCAGAGGGTGATCCCACAGTCCGACCTTGCGTGACCTCGGCGATGTGATTGTCTGCTTCACGTAACGTTGGAGTGTGTCTGTCTGGATGAAGTGTGAAGTGTCACTGCTGGCAGGTGGGGGTCACCCAGTGGGTGTCAGCACCCGAGCGCGGCTTCACTCCGACAGCAGGGCTGTGTGCTCAGCGTCTTGCCAAGGTTTTGCATATACACAAAGCAGTGTTGTTGCTTGTCAAACAAAAGTGGAAGGGGGATTTGCATAGTGGTTTTGCTCCTGGTGCCCTTCAGTTGCCCTGTGCCACTTCAATCACGCTGCACTCAGACCTTTTTGAATCTGTTGATTTGAGTTTATTGTTCAGAGTGATTTCAAATGTCTGGGACTGGAGTGTTAAACAGCCGTCGCGACAGAGTGATTAACCAATCAGAGCTGTTGTTAATGGTGCTTTAGTGGAATTTATTTTCATCAAATTCATCTGCGTCTTGCATTTTTTGTCTTCTGTTAATATACTGTTGGAAAAGTCTTAAAAAGCTCAGAATTTATTATTCATAGTTGGATACTCAGAAAAAAAAGGAAAAGTATTTGTAATTCCACATCTAATTCCCTGTTATGTTGTTGTAACAGCATCCATCCATCCATCCATCCATCCATCCATCCATCCATACATACATTTATTTTCTAGTGCTTATCCCTAATGGGGTCATAAAGGGTGCTGGTGCTAGTCTCCAGTGGTCAACGGGCGAGAGGCGGGGTCATCTGGGACACCAGTGCAACACAGAGACAAACAGGACAAACAACGATGCACACACACACACACACACACATTTTGTTAGTTTAGTTAACTATGATAACCTTGTCACATATATCAGGTGAACTAATTAATGGTTCTAAAATGATTTTATCCCATATTTCCCTTGACTTTTGAACCCAGTTATTTTGCATTATATTGCAGAAATCTGTCATTTTGCTTCAGTTATCTTAGTCCTGGATTCCTCAAAACCTTAGAAATGGCTTTGAAAGTCTTTCTAGATATGCAGATGATGTAAACTTTGTTTTTCATCTGTTTTTGAATTTCTTTAGATTGAAATATGATATGGTTTTTTTAAGAGCTTTCAGCCTACTTCATGTTGCCAGACAAGTTCTAGTTAAGTGAGTTCAGGTCAGGGTGTGGCTGGGGAAATTACTCCAAAACTAATGGTTACTTACAATCATTTCCAGATTTACCAATGGGAGAAATTATGACTTCTAATAAGGCCAGCTTGGTTTTAGAAGGGCTTGTTCCCCTGGTCAGTGAACTCATCATTAATTTAAGTGTCACAAAAAGAAGAAATTTCATCCATCCATTCAGTTTTTGTCCTTGCTTTCAAAGTTTTAAAACAGGAAGGTGAATGAATACAATTTACATTTTTGTAAACCTTCCTACCATGAAGGTTTACATTAGAGCAGAATCTAATGTACATAATTCATGTATATTAATTATGTACATTAGAA